GCTCTTCATCTGCTCTTCCTCTGCTCTTCCTCTGCTCTTCCTCTGCTCTTCATCTGCTCTTCCTCTGCTCTTCCTCTGCTCTTTCTCTGCTCTTCATCTGCTCTTCCTCTGCTCTTCCTCTGCTCTTCCTCTGCTCTTCATCTGCTCTTCCTCTGCTCTTCCTCTGCTCTTCATCTGTTCTTCATCTGTTCTTCCTCTGCTCTTCCTCTGCTCTTCCTCTGCTCTTCCTCTGCTCTTCCTCTGCTCTTCCTCTGCTCTTCATCTGCTCTCCATCTGCATTTTTTCTGCTTCCCCTCTCTCCGCCTCTCCCTCCCTTCTCCCCCACCCCACCACAGCCATTCTAGGAATGCTGTTCGGATTCCTCTTCTCCTTCCTCGCGCTCCTACTCCTCGTGGAGCTCTTGCCCCCCTCTCTCTGCGCCCCACGCCCCCTCCACGTCGCCTCCGCCACCTCATGGCTCTCCCACCTCCTCCTCTTCCTCTTCCTCCCCATCTCGCTCCCCCTCACCGGCGCTCTGAATTGCTGCTTGGGGAAAGGGGAGGCTGCAGCGCAGGGGGGGGGGAGAGGGAGGAGGGGAAGGGCGGGGAAGTTGCGGAGGAAGGGAGGGGAGATGGGGGAGGAGGATGGGGAGGATGAGAGGGTGATGGAAGGGCTTCTGTGCAGGTGAGACAATGGTGATGGTGACGGTGGGGTTGTCTGTTGGATCGCTACAGAATTTCTTTTTACTTGTGCTGTTGTGTGTTTATGTGTGTGTGTGTGTGTGTGTGCTCGCGCGCTCGTGTGTGTGTGTGAATTTGAATGTGTGTGTGTGTGGGCGTGGGTGTGTGTATCGGCATTATTGTCAATCATAATGCTCTCCTGTCCACAGTTCAAAGCCACTCCCACTCTGTTCTGTGCCCTCACCAGCAGTCCAACCAATTCTGCCCGAATAAAACAGTGAATCATGTAATTAAACAACACGTAGCTGCGGTCCCAGAGTCGTCTTAAATAACCGAAATCCTACTTCATCCCCCCTTTTCCCCCATCTTAATTTACCCCCCTATCCCCCTGCTTCCGTCTCCGGCCATTGTTATTTCTCTCCCCCCCCCGCCCAAGCAGCGGTCCCATGTGTACGGACCGATTCTGCATGAAGCACTCAACTGATGATCTCTGATGCGCCTCAAAGGGTTTCTCTCCCCTCCAACCCCTTCCTTCCCCCCCCCACCCCCCCCCTCCCGGCCCCACCCCCCCCAGTGGTCCTATGTGCACCAACCGATTCTGCATGAAGCACACAGGGGAAGATATCCGCAACGGTACCGGCCCCTCCTCCTACCCCATCCTCCTCTCCTCACACTCGCATCAGCTGCAGCACCAAGCAGGGGAATACGAGGGAGAGGAAGAAAGAGAAGGGGAAGGGGAGGACGGAGTGGAGGAGCGAGAGGAGGGGGGAGAAACGAGAGAGGCGATTCATGGAACTGAGTCCCTGCCATCTGTGCAAGTGCAACCACCGCCACCACCACAAATGCAAATGCAAATGCAAACGCAAACACAAACACATCCGTCCTCTTCCTCTTCATCTCTTGCTCCTTCCCGCTTCGCCTCGTCCTCACCCTTTGACTCCCATCTCCTGCCCACGGTCCTCGAGGAAGACGAAGGCGACATCGAAAACCCACCCCCATCCCCTCCCGCTCCTGCTGATGCTGCTCCTGCTACTGTAACTGCTACTTCTGCTGCTGCTCCTCCCCTTGCTGCGGATCCTCCTGCAGTGGCTATTGCCATTGCGGTCACAGACCTGGGCAGTGACAGAGACGCGCTCATGTCCCCGGCATGTGTGCCTGGAGGGTGCATGGGCCCAAGAGACGGAGACGGGGGGTTCCTGGCCCACCACCCCCGCTTCTCCTCACGCACTGCTGCTGTGGGGGCAGCAGCAGCAGCAGCAAAGCAGTGGGGCAAAAGGGGGAGTGATGGGAGGGGAGTTAGGAGGGGAGAAGGGAGCGGAGAGAGGGGACAGGCGCTACCGCCTATTGGGAGGTGAGTGAGCTCATCTGTTTGTGTGACAATCCTTGTGCGTGTCTTGAGTATTGCTTTCTCCTCGCTCACTTCACCGACCGATCTTGTCCTCCAGATTGTAAATGTGAGCATGACTTTTGAGTCGACTCAAAAGTCACCTCGCTCACTTCACCGACCGATCTTGTCCTCCAGATTGTAAATGTGAGCATGACTTTTGAGTCGACTCAAAAGTCACCTCGCTCACTTCACCGACCGATCTTGTCCTCCAGATTGTAATTGTGAGCATGGCAGCTGTGCACGGTTATGAAAGCCTTCCTTTTGTGCTTCCTGTTAGAATTAGGCTGTCAACACTTTGTGTACTATATTCTATATCGCGTAGGTTATTTGCGGGTTGGGTGTAGTTTGTGATCCCAACCCTATCTGGTTGGGATTCCCTCGTAATCCTGCAAATCTGCCAACTCACCAATTGGAGATTTGCTAGGATTCCCATCCCATCCTTTCCCTAGCCTTGCCCATCCCAACCTCGTTTGTACATAAGGCCTAGTGCCTTCTTTCCTAATCAATCAGTTCAGTTCCAATTCTATCATGGTATCGAGCTAGCAAATTCCGCTCACGCGGAATCCGATCCTTGGCGTCGCGATCATTCTCTTCCTCTCGGCTATGGCGTTCTCGGTTCACGCCTTCTTCGCTTAGCGTTTTTCGTCTTCACATCGTCGCACTGGTCAAAAGAGCTTTCCCGCTCCGTCTACGTGCATTTCCGATTTCCACGGCGGCACATTTCTCCGTCAATTTCCTTCATCGTAAGCTCTGAAATTTCAAATTTCCGTGGCAATTTTCTCACATTCGAAACTTCCAGCAGGTTTTCATCAGTGCAGCAGAGCAGGTTCAGCGGCGCAGCAGAGCAGGTCAGCGGCGCAGCAGAGCAGGTTCAGCGGCGCAGCAGAGCAGGTTCAGCGGCGCAGCAGAGCAGGTTCAGCGGCGCAGCAGCACAGGTCAGCGGCGCAGCGGAACAGGTCATCGGCGCAGCAGAAAAGGGGTCATCGGCGAAGCAGAGAAGCAGAACAGGAATCACAATCTTATTGGCGAAATCGCACATTTCCGCGTTTCGGACTTCATCAATTTTCAAAATCGCCGCGCTGCGCGCAGCCGCTAAAGTCACCGAACTTCGCTCCGCTTCGCTCCGCTTCGTATCGTTGACTTTAGCGCTGCGCTCCGCGCGAATGGCGACTTCAACTTCTACCCTAGTCGGAAACCTCATCGTTCTCAACCTCGCTCCCAACGGCACGAGCACCAACTTTGGAGAATGGTGCTATGGGGTGGAGAAGCACCTCCTTAGCACGGAACTGAAGGGGATTTGCCTCAAGGACATCCTCCTCAACCGCGGCAAGGGAAAGATGACATCCTCTCCCTCCCGATCCCCTTGGCGAAGGCGCCACTGCCGCAGAGAAGGCCGCTTTTGACGCTCAGACCACCAAGTACGAGTCTGATTTCAGTGTGTGGGAGCAGGCAGACGCAGCAGTCATTAGGGTTTTCATCACCACTACTCCGGTCGAGCTTGTCAAATCCTACCGCACTTTCCGCTCCGCTCATGCCATTTGGAAGTACCTCCAGGATCGTTTTCATGACAAGACAGCAGTGGGTGTTGCCATCCTCATTCCTCGAATGTTTCAGGTCCGCCTTGAGGAATGCCCTGGCATGGCAGATTACATCTCTGAAATCCGCAACATCCATGAGGAACTCAAGGACATTGGGATCATTTTCCCCGAACAGGCACCTGCAGCTGGACTACTTGTAGGACTGACCCCGGCCTACAATGTTACCAGCTCCATGCTCAAGCAACTTCCCACCAAGGAACTCACCTTCGAAAAAGTCTCATCGGCTCTCCTTTCCGCCGAAAAGGACCTTGCAGCCCAAGCATCCGTCAATGCTGTGCGCTACACCCCTGGAATCCCATTCCGCTCCCAGCAGGGACCAAGGCGCAACTCCTTTCCCCCATGCCCCTACATCATTAGGAAGGGTCCACGTGCGGGGCAGAAATGCGGAGGCACCAACCACCCTGAGGCCACTTGCTTCAAGAAGCGAGATGATGAGTGGTACGACGTCCATGGTGTCTCCTCCACCAAGCGCCCTCCCAACTGGGCCCCACCCCGTCGCGTGAACCAGGTCGAGGCAGTGGAGGAACCTAGTCCCTCAGTTGATAGCACCCCATCTGATGTTCGCCTCAACCTGTTGTTCTCTGGTGCTGGTATTATTAATGAGAAGGGGTCGCAGTACATCGGTGTTTCAAACACACAAGGGATTGAGTTCATACTAGATAGTGGTGCCACCCACACAGTGCTCAAAGACCAAACCGCGTTCGTTCCTTACCAGGCTCCCATCCCACTCCTCGGAGCCGACTCTAGCTTCTCCATCCAATGCCATGGGTCCTCCACAGTTCCTTGTCCAGCATTTCCATTGGGTACAGTCACTGGCATCTGTGCCCCCCACCCTCCGCCACAACCTCCTGGCACAAAGTGAAATCCAACAAGCAGGAGTGATCACCATCTTTCCCAATGATGTCGACTACTGTGACCTCTTTGACGCCAAAACCGGCATTCATCTAGCCCGCTTCACTCTCAACTCCAACAACCTATACACGCTCGTAGTACCTCCCATTCAAACGTGCTCCCTCACAAACCTCCCGTTACCTTCCCTTGACTCCTCCACCTGTCACTGCCGCCTCCTTTCCGACAAAACCATGCTCTTTCATCACCGCCTTGGCCACATCAACTTTCGCGCGCTTTCAGACCTTGCCACAAAACAACTCCTCCACGGGCTTCCAACCTCACTTCCCTCTCCTACCTCCACCCTAGGGCCGCCTTGCCTTGACTGTGCACAGAGCAAGCTTCGTGAACAGCCCCATCCCCCCACTGAGTCCATCTCCGCTGCACCTCTCGATCGCGTGCACATGGACCTTTGGGGCCCAGCTCCTGTTCGCTCTCGCGGTGGACACTTTTACTTCCTTGTCATCATTGATGACTATTCCCGCTATGTGTCTGTCCACCTTCTCTCCTCCAAATCCGAAGCCCCAGGCGTCATCATTGAATGGGCGAAGCAGGCTCACAAACACTTCAAAACCACCATCAAGGTCTTTCACTCTGACGGTGGCGGTGAATTCCGCAACAACACTCTCAAAGCTTTCTGCTCCACTGAGGGTATCCGTCAGACCTTCACTCTCCCGGACAGTCCCCAACAGAACGGTATTGCCGAAAGCCGGAACCGTACATTGGTGCAGATTGCTCGCTGCCTCCTCACGCACGCCTCCGCCCCTCCCTCTCTCTGGGGGTACGCCATGCTTCATGCTGCCGCCCTCCACAATCTCCATACCCATCCTCATCACACCCACACCACCCCCGCTGAGCTATGGACGGGTCAAAAGCCATCCGTCCGCCCTCTTCGTGTATGGGGGTGCACTTCCTATATCCTCCTCAACTCCCAAGCCCGTCGTGCGGCTGACGGCAAACTTGCTCCCAAAACGATCACGTGCGTATACCTCGGGCACAACTTAGATTCGCCAGACTATCTCTTCCTCCATCCTTCCACCAACAAGCTCTATCGCAGCCGGGACGTTTACTTTGATGAGTCCCACCCATTCTACCCCTCCTCCAAGGCTTCCCCCTCTCCTCCGCCTCCCTCTCTTACTTGGGCTGACTTTGACAGTCTCCCTCTTCCCGACACTCCATCTCCTCCTCTTCCCGCTCCCTCCACCATTTCTGATCCCCCATCACCCGCTTCCCCCTCCAGTACCACACAGTCTCCCTCGCTCCCTCCCTCCTCCGCTACCCCTCCTCCATCTCCTCTCGCATCTCCTCCTACCGAGCCCGTTCCTCTCAAAACCTACCAACGCCGTCACCCAGCTCCTCCTCCTCCTGCTCCCACCCCTGATCTCGATCCTGTCTCCACTCTCCCTCCCACTCCCACCTCCCCTTCCGCTGCGCCTACTCCGGCCCCGCCTCCCTCACCCATCGCTTCTCGCACCCGCTCTCGCACCCGCTCTCGCACACCTCCACAACCGTTCTCCCTTTCCGTTCGCGTCTCTCTCAATCCTCCTCCTGTCGGGGGTGATTATTCTCTCATGCCATCCCTCCTTGAAGATAGACATGAGGAGTTGATTGATATCGACTCAGCCATCCACGCACTCTGCTTCCTCTTTCCAGACATCGCAGACTCTCCAACCCTCAATTTCTCCGACAACCCCTCCATCCCCACACCTCTCACCTATGCTGAAGCAGTCTCTGGTTCTCACGCCGCTCAGTGGTTGGGGGCCATTGTCGCAGAATGTGAGGCCTTCATTCACACAGGAACTTTCACAGACGTCTCTCCTCCCTCCGGCGTCAACATTGTGAAGGGAAAATGGGTCTTTCGGGTGAAACAACTTCCAGGCGAATTTCCTGTCTTCAAAGCCGGTACTGTGCCAAGGGATTTACCCAAAAGCGTGGACTGGACTTCTTTGAGACATTCTCTCCCACCGCCAAACCTCCCACACTGCGCACCCTTCTCGATGTCGCTGCTCGAGATGACATGGAGGTTGACTGCATGGATGTGTCTTCTGCGTTCCTGCAAGGGATCCTTCGAGAGGAAATCTATATGGAGCGGCCCGAAGGATTTCCAGCTCCTTTTCCACCAGGCACTGTATGGAAGCTGAATCGGCCAGTGTATGGCCTCAAGCAAGCTCCCCGGGAATGGCACAACAAGCTAAAGAGCACCTTAGGGTCCCTCGACTTTCACCCATCCACCTCTGACCCCAGCCTCTTCATCCGAGCAACACCCTCCCGGTTCTTCATCCTGGTTTATGTCGATGACATGATCCTTGTCACCAAGGATCAGACTGAGCTGGCAGCAGTCAAAACCGCACTTGGTGAGAAGCTGGCCATGAAGGACCTTGGGAAGCTGACGAACTATTTGGGAATGGAAATCACACGTGATCGCACAGCCCGCACCATCACCCTTTCGCAGAAGTTTTACATCAACAACGTTCTAACGAGGTTCAAGATGCAGGAAGCAGCATCAATGCCCACCCCACTCTCTCTGCAACACCAACTCACTGCACCCTCCGTTCCCTCACCTGAGCCCTGTGACGAGCCTTACCCCGAGCTCGTGGGATCCCTCATGTACGCGATGATGTGCACTCGACCAGACTTAGCCTATCCAGTCAGTGTATTGTCCCGCTACGTTGCACCTGGTCGCTTCACTCGCCACCACTGGTCTGCCGCCAAGCGGGTTCTTCGCTATCTCAAAGGCACACAGGATTATGTGCTCACACTTGGCGGCGCTTCCCCTGTTCGCCTTGAGGGGTACAGTGACTCATCCTATGCTGATGACCAGAGTGATCGGCGCTCGTCCCAAGGGTATTGCTTTACCCTTGGCAGTGGGGTTGTAAGTTGGCGCTCCACTCGGTCGTCCTCCGTCTCACTGTCGACCTGTGAGGCAGAGCTGTATGCCGGGACCATGGCTGCACAGGAGGCTCGTTGGCTCTCCTTCCTGCTGACAGAACTGGGGTATCCCCAACCAACCCCAACGCTTTGGTGTGACAACGAGAGCACCATTCATCTCACCAAAGACCCCGTTTTCCATGGCCGCACCAAGCACATTGAAGTCCGTCACTACTTTCTTCGTGAGCTGGTGCAGCGCGAGCAGCTGAAGGCTGAACACATTGCCTCCGACTGCAACCTTGCTGACTTGTTTACCAAGTCGCTTGTTCGCGAGGATCATTACCGCCTCCTCTCGGCCATGGGTGTTGGGCCTCCTTGTGGCTGATGTGTTGCAGCCTAGGGGGTGTGTTAGAATTAGGCTGTCAACACTTTGTGTACTATATTCTATATCGCGTAGGTTATTTGCGGGTTGGGTGTAGTTTGTGATCCCAACCCTATCTGGTTGGGATTCCCTCGTAATCCTGCAAATCTGCCAGCTCACCAATTGGAGATTTGCTAGGATTCCCATCCCATCCTTTCCCTAGCCTTGCCCATCCCAACCTCGTTTGTACTTAAGGCCTAGTGCCTTCTTTCCTAATCAATCAGTTCAGTTCCAATTCTATCACTTCCCTCGAGCAATCTTCATGCACTGCATTGCACACCATGCACTGCACAGTCAAAGCATGAGCAGCAATCCTGCACGCATACACGCATGCAAAGCGTCCATCCATCTTTTTGGATCTAGGCCCTCATACAACTCGTCCCTCCTCCTCCTCCTCCTCCTCCTCCTCCTCCTCCTCCTCCTCCTCCTCCTCCTCCTCCTCCTCCTCCTCCTCCTCCTCCTCCTCTTCCTCCTCCTCCTCCTCCCCCCCCCTTCTTCCTTTCCACTTTCCTTCCACCTCCGTTTCCTTTCCCCTCTTCTCCCGTTCCCTCCCGCCCTTCCCTGCAGCATGCCCATAGGAGCACGGCACACGCCCCTGAAGCCCTCTCCTGCTGCTCTTGCTGCTGCTCTCGCCGCCGCCAGTGCTCCTCCTCCTCCCCCTCTGACAACAACAGAACAGATAGCAGCAGCAACAGCAGCAGGGGGAGGGGCAGCAGCAGGAGCAAATGCAGAAACAACAGGTGCAGATGGGGGACCAGCAGGAGAAGCAGCACCAGCAGTAGGCACAGTTGCCGCTGCTGCATCTGCAGCAGCACTAGTTAATCTTGGAAGCAGAGCAGGCAATATGGTGGAGGGTAACTGGAATGGGCAGGTCGAAGCGGGTTCTGCAGCACCAATGAGGGAGGGGCAGGGCACTGCTTGTTGTGCTGCTGGGGAAGGGAAAGGGAGTGGGGATAAGGATGGGGTTGGGAGTAGTGATGCGAAACCGAATGATGGTTCAAGGGTTCCGGAAGGAGGAGAGGGGAGAGATAGCATCGAGAAGGGGAATGCTGAGCATTTTGTTGCGGCGGAGGTCAAGCAGGAGAAGGCGGAAGAAGGGGATGAGGGCCAGGAGGAAGAGGAGTACTCAGAGGGTGGGGAAGAGGAGGAAGAGGGAGAGCAGGAGTGGTTTGATGCTCCTGAGGCGTTGATTCTATCCAATTCCTCCTCTCTTTCCACCAATGCCCCCATGTTCACCCCTCCCTTGGCCGCCTCTCCTGCACCGTCCGGGTCTCCTGCTGGTGGTTCGTCACCTGCGCGGCATGTGCTTGGTATCAGAGCAGCTGCGAGGCTGCTCGGGTCTTCACCCCTTGCTTTAGCAGTGCATGCACCGGCGGCGGCAGCACCAGCAGGAGTGGGAGAAGTGGGAGGAGGCAGTGGAGGTGAAGGAGGAAGGGGAGAAGAAGAATCAGGAGTAGCAGCAGCAGCAGCAGCAGCAGCAGCAGCGGGATCTGTCCTTGGAATATTGTCTCCTATCAATCCGTCCTCCCCAGCCCCTTTATCCCCCACACTTGCTGCCGCCCCACCTGCCGCTCCACCTGCCGTCACCACTGCTACTTCTTCTGCTGCTTCTGTCTCTCTTGTTGCCATTGCTTCTGCTGCTGCAGCAGCAGGAGCAGCAGAGGAACGAAGAAGAAGGCTTCAAGAATCAGCTCTCGTGAGCGAACCACCACCGTGGAGTCCCGACACATCACCATCAAAATCACCACCAGGATCCTCTCACCCCCCGGCTCGTGCCCGAACCCTACCTTCCACCTCTCGCCATCATCACGCTCCCTCTCCACCCCCCCCTCCCCCACTCCCTCCCCCCCTCCCGCCTCCCACCTCACCTCGAGAGGTGCTAAGACCAGTAGGTCCCCGAGCATCTAAATCCGATGCTTCCGACTTGCCTCTGTGCTTTGACGAATTGGAGGAGTTGGAACGGGAGGGGGAGGGAGGGGAGCGTTTTCACAAGCTAAGAGCCTGGTGGGATGCTACTGGAATGCGGAGTCGAGGGTCGGAAGGAGGGACGAGAGAGGATGGGATTGGGGCGGCGGGATCAGGATCAGGTGGGGGGGTTGGTGGGAGTGGTGGTGATGGTGGTTCTATGAGGGGTTTCGCTCCTGTGTTTGGTGGTTCTGCTCGGTCTGCTTCGCCTGTGGCTTCGGCAGCAGCAGCAGCACTAGCAGCAGGTGTTGGCGGTGCTGGTGGTGGTGTGGGCGGAGCAGCCGCAGGAGGAAGGATAGGAGGAGGAGGAGGAGCAGGAGGAGGAGGAGGAGGAGGAGCAGGAGGAGGAGCAGGGGGAGGAGGAGGAGGGGGTAGAGGGAACGCGGGGGAGTTCCGAGCGTTTTCTTTGCCTCGAGTGATGCCATCTGCAGTCCCTTGGTTGTCGCAATCACCGTTACTGTCGCCGCAGTCCTCGTTGCTGCATCACCACCTGGCTCTTGCTGCTGCTGCTGCTGCTTCTGCCACAGGCCCCATTCGTGCTCATGACCCTGCTGCACCTGCTGCTTCTGCCACAGGCCCCATTCGTGCTCATGACCCTGCTGCACCTGCTGCTTCTGCCACAGGCCCCATTCGTGCTCATGACCCTGCTGCACCTGCTGCTTCTGCCACAGGCCCCATTCGTGCTCATGACCCTGCTGCACCTGCTGCTTCTGCCGCCGCCGCCGCTTCTGCTCCTGCTGCTCCTGCTGTGACTGCTGGTGCTGGAGCTGTTTCTCAAGAGACCAGTACGATCCACTCTGCTGCTCCCAGTGTAAGTCTGGGAGGAGTTGCAGGCAGTGCCAGCAGTGCTGCCACCAGGAGTGCCGCTGCTGCTCCTGCTCCTTCTGCTGCTCCTGCTCCTGCTGTGCGGCAGCTGAGTGGGTTGGAAGCGAAGGCGCAGCTACAAGCGAGGCTGTTGGGGCTGAAGAACAAAACCTACCAGAGCCTACCCTCGCGTACCTGGGATGTGGTGGATGGTTCCTCAGGCACCAAAGCTCCTCCGTCTGCTGCTTCTGCTGCTGCTGCTGCTGCTGCTGCTGCTGCTGCTGCTGCTGCTGCTGCTGTGGCTGGTTGTGGTGCTGGTGCTGCTCCTGGTGCGGCTGATGCTGCTGCTGCTGCTGCTACTGGTGGTGGTGCTGCTGCTGTTGCTGTTTCTGGCGATCGTACCGCTGCTGCAGCTAGATTTCCCACAGGTGGTAGTTGCAACAGTAGACACGAGCGCGAGGATGTGAATGGAAATGGTGGGCGAGGGGATGCGGGCATGGAAGGGGGACAGGCTGTTGCAGCAGGAGGAAGAGCAGGAGGGGAAGGAGGAGGGGGAGGAGGAGGGGGAGGAGGGGAAGGAGGAGGAGGAGGAGGGGGAGGAGGGGAAGAAGGAGGAGGGGGAGGATGGCGCGGAGGATTCAGGAGACAAGGAGATCAAAGCGGGGAGGTGGCAAGGAGAGCAGGGGATTCGCTGCGTAGTTATGAGGAGGAGGGGGAGAGCGAGGGGACGGACAGGGAGGAGGGAAGCAGCCAGAGGTTGCTGCGAAGGGCGTTGACCATCACAGCCAGGCGCAGAGCAGCAGGAGCGGCGGCAACCGCAGCAGCAGCGGGTGCTGAGGCTGTGTGGAGGAAGGAGATGGATGAGGGGGACAAGACGCGTGGGGCGGAACAAGCCGGAGGGCGAGCCGTATATGGCATGGATAGTGGTGTAGGCGAAGGTGGGAGTGGAGGAGGAAGCGGAGGAGGAAGCGGAGGAGGAAGCGGAGGAGGAAGCGGAGGAGGAAGCGGAGGAGGAAGCGGAGGAGGAAGCGGAGGAGGAAGCGGAGGAGGAAGCGGAGGAGGAAGCGGAGGAGGAAGCGGAGGAGGAAGTGGAGGAGGAAGTGGAGGAGGAAGTGGAGGAGGAAGTGGAGGAGGAAGTGGAGGAGGAGGGGAAGTGAGGCAAGGAGAAGGGTGTCAATTCCCTTTGACTCAGCACTCTGCCTCACCTTCACTCCCTCGCCCTCCCCCTCACTCCTCGTTCCCCAGCAACCCCTCGTCTGGCCAGTCACCCCCTCCTCCTCCTCATCACGACTTGAACCCCACTGCTGCTCGCCCTTTCTCACCTTATGCCCTCCCTCCCTCTAATGCCCCCTCTCCCTACCCTGCTCGTGACACCACCTCCCCTTTGCACCCACGTGACACCTCCCCTTTGCACCCACGTGACACCTCCCCTTTGCACCCACGTGACACCTCCCCTGCGCACAGGCCTTTCCAAAGCCCCTCTCCCTCCCGGCACCCCTCCTCTTCTCACCACTGCTCTAATTCCACAGCAGCAGCAGACTCGCCCCATCTATTGCACTCGCTCTCTACAGGGTCCTCCTCCTCGCCCCCACACCCCTCCGCCTTCCCTCCTCCCCGCACCCTCCGCTTGATGGCCTCCCAGGCCTCCCTCCCGTCCCACTACCACCACCCCTCGCTTGCCCTGCTCCCGCTGAAATCCCCACTGCTGCCGGAGACTCCTGCGTCTCCTGGGTCTCCCGAATCCCCCTCGTCCCCCCCTGCTGCGCTCTATCAAAAAGCAGCCACCACAGGTGCGCTGTTGTGCCATCAGCAGCAGCGGCAGCAGCAGCAGGAGCGGCAGGAGCGAAGGCAGGAGCGGCGGCAGCAGCAGCAGCAGGAGCAAGTTTCGGCTGCTCCGTCTGCCTTGTCTGCTCGGTCGCGCTATTTGAGGCAAATAGGAGTGGAGGCAGTGCCGCTGTCTGTGACTCCCAAGCAGCGTCCGGCTTTCCAGCAACGCAATTCCTTCATGCGACGGCTTGCACATGAGGACTGGGAGGATAGTGCCACCACCTCCGCCACAGACAGCAACGCCAACGCCAACGCCACCGCCAACGCTGCAATCAATACTACCACCAGTAACACCACCACTGGCACCACAGGCACCACAGGCACCACCACCACGGGCACTACAGGCACGAGCAGCAGCAGCACTGCGGGTTTCAGTTTGCCATCCTCCCCTGCTACTGACAGCCACGCACCCTTCCCTGCCCAAGCTCATCCCTCTCCCAACAGCCACTCTTCCCTCCTCTCCCCAAACCAAGTCTCCTTCCCGACTCCCCTGCACTCCCCTTCTCCGCTCCTCCACAGTCCCCTCTCGTCCAACGGAGCCCCATCTCCCGCTCCAATCAACCCCCCAAGACAGACCCCTTTCGAATCCTCTCTCACCTCCTCCTCCTCCTCCTCCTCCTCTCAGCTTCCCCTCACTCCTCCCCAGCCCGGATTCCCTGTTCGGTCGCACATAGGTTCTTCCCCTCGTCATGCGGAGCCGTATTATGGAGCTCAGCAAGTGGTGGGTGCTGGGAGAGATGGGGGAGGGGGGTTTAGAGGGGAGGTGCGGAGGGGAAGGGGGGGGAGAAGGCTTATGGAGGAAGATGAGCGGGTGGAGTTGAGAAGGGGAGGGGGGGTGGACTATGGTGGGGAGAGGGGAAGCGAGCGGGAAATGAGGAGGGGTGGGGGTTCGTTTGGAGAGGAGGGATGGTTGGAAAGGGAGGAGGAGGGGAGGAGAAGGGCGAGTGAGGAGGGTGGGACGAGAGGAAGAAGAGGAGGGAGGAGATTGTTTGAGGAGGATGGGGATAGAGAGAGGGGAGAGGAGGCATGGGCTAGTGAAAAGGCTACAGAGAGTGCTAGGAAGGGAAGGGACGAGAGGGATGGAGGGGACTCAAGGGAATTCGGGGGAAACGATGGATGGAGAGAGAGAAGGGAGGGGGGAGAACGGGAACGGAGACAGGGGAGGGATGGGAGGACGGGTTTGGAAGAAAAGGAGGGGAAAGTTGAGAGGAGAGGAAGAGAGGGGAGGAAAAGTCGGGATGAGGTGAAAGGGATGGAAGAAGGTGTAAGGAGGGAGGCAGAACAGGATGCGTTGGCGTCGGCGGCGTGGGAAGGAGAGGCATTGCAGAGAGGGCGTGGCTCTGAGGCAGCTGATATGTATGAGAGGCTTGATAGGGTTGCGAGAGTGCGTGTGGATGGGCCGGAGGCAGCTGTAGGAGTGCGGGAGTGGGAGGGCGAAGGAAGGGGTGTGTCTGGTTTTTGGGACGACTCAAGTGGTGGTGATGGTAGAAAGGGAGCGAGGGGGCAAGAGGAGGCACAGGAGCGAGATAGCAGGTCTAAAGACGAGTGGGAGGGGATGAAAAAGGGTAGAAGCGAAGAGGGACGAGAGAGAGTGGGGAGAGAGGGAAGTGGGGAGGACGTGGTGGAAATAAGGGAGGCAGAAGAAAATATGACTCGAGACAAGGTTGGGTCTTGCGGTGGGAGAGATGGGAACGCAGAAGAAGGGGACAATGATGATGGTGTTGATGGCGATAGTGACGACGATTCTGCTGCTGCTGCTGATGATGATACTGATGATGATATTGATGATGATGATGATGATGTTGATATGACGGATGATCTGGATGACGAGGAGCAGCAGAACGCGTTCTCTCTTGATCTGGACTCCGAGTCAAGAGATCATGGCACTGGCAGCTTCAGCACTGGCTTCGCACCGGATGCTGCGAGCAAAGAGCGTGATGAAGAGGAGGATGAGGAGGAGGATGAGGAGGAGGAGGAAGAAGACGAGGAGGAAGAGGATGGCAAGGAGAGGAGCAGGAGCCGGCCCACAGCTGCAATGCTGGACTCCCAGGCTGCATCTCTCATGCACCTGGCGCTGCATGCACAAGCTGCTAGGCATCAGGTTGCTGCTGAAGCACCCCCTCCCGTCCACTCCCCTGCCGTCTCCCTTGACTTATCTGCAAAGGGCTGCGGTGGAGAGCAGTTGCTTGGCAGCAGTAGCAAGGGTGGGAGCAGGGAGAGTGGCAGGGAGGGCAGTGGTGTTATGGGCAGCAGTAACAGGAGTGGCGTTGGTGGCAATGATGCTGCTGCCGGTGCTGCTGCTTTTAGTGATGCTTCAGTTGATGATTCTTTCGGTGCTGCTGCTGCTGCTGCTGGCGGTGGTGGTGACGCTGCTGCTGCTGGCGGTGGTGGTGACGCTGCTGCTGCTGGCGGTGGTGGTGACTCTGCTGCTGCTGGCGGTGCTAATTCTCCTGCCCCACTGTCACGTTCCTCCACGCCTCTCCCTCTTTCTGGTCCTCCCTTTGCCGAAGCAGCGTGGCTGGAGCCAGCTTGGCCGCGATTGAGAGAGCTGGAGGAGGGCTATTCAGGGGAATCGGGGCGAAGTTCAGGCGGTAGAAGGAAGGAGGGAGATGGAGGGGATAGGGAACGGGAAGAGAGAGGAGGTGTGGTGGAGGAGGAGAGGGGGAAGGAGGTGGGGGGAGGAAACGTAAGGGGTATGCAGGTTGGAGGAGGAGGGAGGGATGGGATGGGTGGAGAGGAGGTGTGTGTGGTGGTGGTGGATGATGGGATGGGGAGGAGGGAAGGCGTGGATGGGGGCTCGCGTGTTGAAGGTGAGCCGTTGTTAAGGAGGGATGATGGGAGCTGGTTTTTCGTTGGTTTTTGGTTTTTCTTTCTTTCTTTCTTTCTTTCTTCCTTCCTTTCTTTCTTTTTCTTTCTTTCTTTCTTTAAACCGGAATTTTTATTTTTATTCTTGCCGGTTGGTGCACACACCCCTGCACACGCACATGCGTACCGTCACACATATTTTCGTGTCTCGTACGCAGTGCGACATCACCAATAAGCTAACTCTCCCTTCCATCTGCCCCTTACCCTCTATGTCTCCCTTGCTTCCCCTCTCTCCCTCGCTTCCCCCTCTCTCCCTCGCTTCCCACATCTGACCCAGCTGCAGCACCAACACCACCACTTGTCGACAGCATCACCATGGCACCTCCCTCGCATGACATCCAAATCACGATTCCCCCATCCGACCTCCCGAACGAAACATCATCACCCATGCCGTTTCCCCACTCCTCCTCACGCCCATCCTCCCGCTCCGCCTCGCGACCTTCCTCTCGCCGCGCCTTACGAAATGCTGCAGTGGCAGCAGCAGCGGCAGCGGCAGCAGAATCTACAGGGAGTTATGGTGGGGGTGGGGGAGGAGGTGATGACGATGTGCATGGGTATGCCAGTGAGAGTGAGTCAGGAGCAGGAGCAGCAGGAGCAGCAGGAGCAGCAGGAGGGGCCGGAGGAGCAGTGGGGGAAGGGGGAGGTGATGGATCAGTGTTGCTGTCAGCATCAGCATCCATGCCTCGCACTCCTGCCACCCCCTCCTCTCCCCTCTCCTGGGCTGGGTGGCTCTGGGGCCAGCAACAACAACAGCAGCTGCAGTGAGCAGCAGCAGCAGCAGCAGCAGGAATGGAATGGAATGGCAGAGCGGCAGCAGCAAGGCAAGAAATAGCCCTTGCGAATCAAAAATGATATGCCGCGATGCAAAGGAGTGGGGCTTTGAACGGGAGGCAACAAGGCACGTCAGCCAGGGCCCTGGGGTATGCGCGTGTGCCACTTTTGGTGAGGTTTCTCCTCAGTGATTTGCAAGCATGGCCGGTGAGTGGGGCCCTCTGAAGAGGTTAATACCATATGAAAGAACCCCACCAACGAAGGCCCAGGGGTTGCATGATAGCAGCCGTGACAGAAGAGGCAGTGGCACTCTTGGTGAGCATAAGTGACTCTAGGTGGGGCTAGGTGGGGCTAGGTAAGGCTACCAACTGACAGCAGCAGCGATGAGCCTAGTGAAGCAAGCATGGTGTAGGTACTGACAAAGAGCGGCAGGTAGTGGCAGGCACTCCCAACGTCATGATGAGTACTGCCTCCATGCATTATGTATGGACTCCTGTTACAGTACTGCTGCCATCATTGACCTTCAGAGGGGGGGTTAAGGGAGTGGGAGGAAAGGAGCAGTAGTGCAATAGTGCATGCAGGTGGGTGGGAACACCTGGTGGTGGTTCAGTTCAGCAGCTGCAGCTTGTATGAAATTCAAAGCATGGACAGCTCGCAAGCATGTAATCTTCTGTCTCTGAACGACATGGTGCAACGCAACGCAGCGATTTCAGTACCCTGTCCCTTTCGCAGGTGCACGTACTGGTAGGTCCGGTCCGGTCCGGTCCTGTCCCATTCAGCGATTTCAGTACCCTGACCTCAAAGTTCTGACAGGGTTCACTAAACACGAATAAAATCTGTCATTGTCCTGAGTTACTCTGATCTAAGATCTCATAAAATTATCCAGTTACATATAAAAGTATGCTATAGCAAAAAAGTTTCAGTTTACGGAATTTGAATAAATCAACAGCAACAGCAATTGCTGGTGCACCCCATGAGCCACAAATCAATGATCCAGCCTTCACTAGACCCAACCCAGCCCAACCCCATGCTCTCTTCCTCTTGCCTCTCAGCTTCCCCTCCCCTCCTGTCTCCATTCTTCCTTTCGCTCCACATGACATTTTTCTTGAAGCAGCCTTTTGTAAAAGAACAGCATCTGTGAACACCTCGGCACCTCTTTGCATCTCTCTACACAGCTCTGTGCTCTCCATACCTCCCTAAACAGCTCCCTGCACATCTCTCTGCATCACACCTCTCTCCACCTCTCTGCATATCTCTCTCTCTCTCTACATCTTGCGGCGGTTGACGAGGCCGGTGAGGCCGGAGCCGCGCTTGGCGCTGTTGTCGAACATGCGACGCAGGAAGAGCACCTGCAGGGCGGACGCCAGGATCAGCACCACCGCCTCCACCGCTGCAAACTGCAGCACTCGCGTGTGCGTGTTCATGATCGCTGCCGTGAGGGGAGGAGAGGAATTGGGGGTGTGAGGGAGGGTGAAGTAAAGAGGGATGGCAAGGTGGGTTGACTCAAAGGGCAACTTGCAGCACGCCCGTGTGCGTGTTCATGATCGCTGCAGCACGAGGTAGTAAAGGCGTTTTGGAAAGGGGGGAAGCAAGAGGGGATGGGAGGGGTTGGGGATCCTGAGATATCTTAAACCGTGTGTGCGTGATTGTGATTGCTGTAGAACTGGAAAGGGGTGTGGGGGGGGAGGAAGCTGGAGACGAAATAGCAGGGCAAGGTTGGGGAACGGGAAGCAGGAAGTGTGGTGAAGAGGGAAGGGAGGGAGAAAAGGGAAGGAGGTCGCTGGGAATAGCAAGGGTTGCATGTAGATGGGAAATCGGGTGATGATGAGAAATGCGAGGAGGAAAGAAACGGGAAGGGGTAGGAAGTGAGAAGAGTTGGTGGATGGCAGGGGGGAGGGGGGAGGGGGGTGGGGGTGGGGGTGGGGGTGGGGGTGGGGGTGGAGGTGGGGGTGGGGTTGGGGGCGAGGGCTGTGGGTACGGGAAGGAGGCGTAGCTCCTTGATGATGTGAGCTAAGGGTTGCTGAAATGTACGCTTTCGGTAGAAAGGGGGGGAATTGGGGGTGAGGGAGGCAGAGAGGCGGAGAATGAGAACGGAAGTGGAGTGGAGTGGGATGAGATGTGTGTTTGTCTGACCAGCACAAGGAGAATGAAACAAGAGAGACACTGGGAGTCAGGAAGAGGTGCTGGGAGACGGAGAGAACGGGGGGGGTGGGGAAGGAAGTAAAGTGTCAGAGGGAAGGTGCGGACGCAGGGTGGGTAGACACATGAGATGACTTTTGGGCTAAACTGAGGGCAGAGATATCATGGGGCAAACGGGTGTGTTGTGGTTGTAATGTGGTGGTGGTCCTGCGTGGTGGTGCATGCTGCTGTGTGATGGTGAGATGATGGTGAGGTGATGGTGAGGTGATGGTGCGTGGTGGAGCGTGGTGGCAGGCAGTGCGTACTGTCTCGCTGGCGGTGCAGCTGCGAGCGGAAGAAGCGCTGGTCGACGATCATGCGGTGCAGCCCGTGCTTAATCTCGTACATCTGATCAAACAGCGCCTCCATGTGCCCTGCCGCATCGCCGCCCATGCACACGGACGGAGGCAGGGAGGAGGGAGGGAGGGAGGGAGGGAGGGAGGGAGGGAGGGAGGGAGGGAGGGAGGGAGGGAGGGAGGGAGGGAGGGAGGGAGGGAGGGAGGGAGGGAGGGAAGGAGGGAGGATGGGAGGGAGGGAGAGAGGAATGGAGGAGGGCATAGAAGGACAGGGGAGTGGAGTGGGAGTAAAAGGGAGCTTTCATTGTGAGTTGAGTACCAGTACACGAGCACGCGATCAGCATATACCTCCCCATAGTGTAAACCACCACCACCCCTTCCCTCTCCCCCTTTCCCCCCTTTCCCCCCCTCCCTCCCTTTCCCCACATCACCCCGAAAACATCCCTTCCCCGCGCCCAACTACAGCCTCCCCCAACAACTCCTCCTCCCCGTGCCCCTCCCCCGCCATCTCCCCCCTCCCCGCGACAGCCGCGCACCATCAGTGGCGAGCTCGTCCTTGTTTGGCGCGCCGCTGGTGCCCGGCGGCGTGCCCGTGACGGCGGCGCTGCGCGGCTTCCACGTGGCGGCGTCCTCGAACTCCGCGACCACGTCGACGAACTCGGGCGCGTGCCCGTGGTTCTTCAGGCACAGCTCGAACTGCCCCGCGCGCTCCACGCGCAGGTCGAACTGCGCCTCGCTGCGCCCGCGCGCCGTGTACACCTCGATGCCGCGCGGATCCTTGATCTGCGCGGGGGAGGTGCGTGGGGAATGGGAAATATGGGGAACGGGGGGAGGGGAGGGAGGGGGAGGGGGGAGGAAAAGCGGGAGAGAGGAAAGCGGGGGAGGGATGGGGAGGGAGTACGCGAAAGTCGAGGATTCTTCTTTCACAGCAGCAGCAATCGAGGGAGGGTGGCTGGCACCGCATGATACCGAAGCGCGACTCCGAAACTGTTCATCGCAATTTTGAAAGCAACAAAACTGGACGCGTGAACCGAAACCGAAAAATACGAGCTTTTTCACGTCAACATTCGCGGCGTTTCCGACTCACGGTGACGTCCAGCCGAGCGGCGTAGTCGCGGAACGATCCGTGATGGTCGAATACGACGACGCTGCCGGTGAGCATGCCGTGGTTGGATTCCGTCGATAGCCATATGCACTCGCGATCTCCCGAGTGAATTGTCAGTCGCATCGCGAACGATAAGCGCGGCGCCGCGGCTAGAATGGTCACCAAGAGCGTCGCCAGCGCGAAAAGCGCACCGCGACCCATCATCGCTATGGCCCGCGAAATTCTTTCTGATTTTTATCGATCTTGACGAGGAAGCGCGTAGCCACCGGAACGAAAGGAAATTTGAAGGGTAATAGAGCTTCTAGTTGGTCGAAATGGAGTAATTGTGAGACTTCCAGTTATTAGTACCTGTTGAGGGAGGCGCCGGCTTGGTTCTGCCTGGTGGTTGATAGGAGATTACGTCTCCTAAAGTGGGATGCATTATACAGAGCACTCATCCCTATTCTTCTCCCAACTTATAGAACTGAGTTCAGTATGCAGACGTACCATTTCACTCAAATGTCGGATTTGTTTCGATTTCGCAATATATTGTGACGTAGAAACGATGCCGAAATTTGAGTGAAATAGAACGGGGCTCAGTTGTATCATCCAACGTGTTATGAGCTGTAAATGAAGAGGTTGCGTCGAATTCAATAACAAAGTTGTGATCACAACACAACCACTGCGCAAACAATGAAGCCTAGAAATGATATAGAGTGACCAGAGCCTGTGCTAGGATTTTTCATCATCCTGAGCTTTCAAGGCCTGTTTTTCTAACTAACAAACCGTTAGAAGATGAGGCAACAAGCATGGGTGATGATTAGGTTGGGGAGGGGGGAAAAGTAAAGTGACGAGATGGGGAATGTACCCCCTAAGGCTAGAACATATATAGCCTATAGATGATGTTTCTACACACCCCCATAGGCGAAATGGGATAGCCAGAGCAAACAATGGTCACAAGACGAGTCAAGAGAAGCAAACAAAACAAAGCTCAGGGTGGATCTCAAGATCACCACGCATTCTGAGCACAAGCAAGCGGCCACAAGGCCAGTTCACATGCATAGTTTATAAAAGCAATTGCCGTACACTTATCACAACCTAGCAAGTGTAAACATGCAGGTATAATCATACATATCAGAGTACAACAAGTGCAAGGCAAGATCAAGAGACGAGCAGGTGAGGCAGAGTGGGCACAAGCCCAAGAGTAGTGCAGAAACGTTGTTGATCACTAGAACCAAGGGTCTTGGTCAAAACATCAGCAATGTTGGCCTCTGTGACCACGTAAGCAAGACGAAGCTGACCACGCTGCTGCAGCTCTCTCGTGAGGAAGTAACGAAGAGCAATGTGCTTCGCTCTGTGCTCCAGTCTCTGGTCCTCACACAAGGCAATCATGGCCTTGTTGTCGACGTACAGAACTGGAGGAGAACGAGGCCGCTCACCAAATTCGGTCAGCAGGTAGGTCAGACAGCGGAGCTCCTGTGCAACCATAGCCCCAGCGTAGATCTCTGCCTCACAGCTAGAACTAAGTATAGTAGAAGAGCGAGTGGACCTTTACAAGACATAACCAGTGCCGAGGCTGAAACTGTACCCCTGTGTTGACCGGCGAATCGTCTGGTCGTCAGCCCAAGAAGCATCTGAGTGACCGGTAAGAACAACTGGACCCCGTCCTCCAAGCACTAGCCCCATGCCCGATGAACTGCACAAGTAACGCAAAACCCTCTTCGCAGCTTCCCATTGCACCTTTCGGGGTCTACCGAGAGCCACGTAGCGAGCCAGAGGCTGAGAGGGCACGCGAGGTCAGGTCGTGTGCACGTCATCAGGTACATGGGGCAACCCACAAACTCTGGGTACGGACCACTCGGCTCTACGGACTCGTCCGAAGGTGGAGCTGAGAGTGAGTGGCCGGTAGACAAAGGAGTGGGCTATAGAGAGGACCACAAGAAGTCGAAGCGCTGAAGGACCTGCTGCACCATGTGAGACTGGGTGAGGATGATGGTGCGGCGTGCTCTGTCCCGGGTGATCTGCAAGCCAAGATAGCTCCGCAGGTCACCCAGGTCAGTGCAGGTGTGTCTTCCTTGCTGCTCCGCCTTCACTAAGGCTAGAGCATCAGTGTCAGCAGTTGCAAAAACCAAGTCGTCAACGTATACAAGAACGTAGAACGGCGGCAGAGAAGTGTCTGTGCGCAAAAACAACGAAGGGTCAGCACTCGAGGGAGCGAAGCCAAGAGCCGCAAGTGTAGTTCACAGTGTGTCGTGCCACTCGCGGGGCGCCTGTCATAGGCCGTAGACTGGTCGCCGAAGACTCCACTGGGTACCCTCAGAAAACGACCCAGTGAAGCCACGTGGGCGGCGCAACCAGATAGCCTCGTGAAAACTGCCCTGCAGGAAGGCTGTCGAGAAGTCAAGGGAGTGCAGCTCGTAGTCATGCTGTGTTGCAACGTGTAGTAGCATCGAAAGAGTGGTCATCATCGGGGTGGGGGAGAAGGTCTAGAAGAAGTCGACCCCCTCACGCTGACTGAAGCCTCGTGCAACGAAACGCGCCTTGAAGGCAGGCGGAGAACCCGGTGTGAAGAATGAGGAATGAGAATGGAAGAAGAGAGGGTTGCACTAGCAGCAGTTGGCATACATATAGGAAACCCTAATTGGGTTGTACTCGCTATAGAGTACCCCACTGCAGGCTAGACAATTATAACATTCTGACACACCCCCATAGCCAAAGTGGGGTATAATCAGCACAGTGAGCAAGCAGGCATAGAGCAGGAGTTCACAATAGCGAGCAAAGCTAGATTTAATCACAGCGGGCAAGTGAGGAGGAGGAGGAACTGTGGAGGGAGAGAAGATGGGAGGCAACGACTGAAGCTGCAGAGGCACGGGCACAAGAGCGGCTGACTCAGTGGCTACCGAAGCAAGGGCGACGGACTACTGGAGTAACTGGCTCCGCGGCTATAGACGAGCGGCAGGAGCAACGGACCCACTGGCGACTGGTGCAACAGGCTCACTGGCTACCGAAGCAAGGGCGACGGACTACAGGCGCTGCAGGCGACACGACAGCTACCTTCACACAACCTCCTCCAACTGCCCCACACCCTCAACACACACCCCCTGCTCAGACCCTAGCTCCACTCCCACAGCACCCCCCTTTCACACACCCCCTGCTGCACCCTAGGTTCACTCACACCCCACCCCCCTCAGCGACAGCTGCAGTAGTGGGAGACAGAGGAGGAGGAGGAGCAGGGGAGACCACACACCCGCCACTCCCACTCGCCACCCCCAGACCCTAACACAGGGCAGGGCGGGACGGCGGGTAGGGAGGTTACGGGGGGGGGGGGGGGGGGGGGGGGGGGGCCGACGCGCGGCCTCCCAGGGCGCCAAAACAGGCGGCAGAAGGGGCGGCGCTCGCCCCCCCCCCAGCGGCCCCCTCAGGTCGCCTCGACAGGCGACGGGAAAAGAGGGGGGGGCGGTGCACGGGCCCCCGGTGCGCCGCGACAGGCGACGTAGCATGGCCGGGGCGGGGCCGGGGGAGGGTCGAGGCAGGGCCGAAAGGGGCGGCGACGGGGCCGCAAGTGGCGGCGACGGGGCCGCTGGAGGCGGCGACGGGGCCGATAGGAGCGGCGACGGGGCCGCTAGGGCCGGCGACAGGGCCGCTGGTGGCGGCGACGGGGCCGATAGGGGCGGCGACGGGGCCGCTAGAGGCGGCGACGGGGCCGCTGGTGGCGGCGACGGGGCCGATAGGGGCGGCGACGGGGCCGCGAAGGGGCCGCGAGGGGCCTGGAAGGGCGGCGACGGGCCGCTGACGGGGCCGCGAGAGGCCGCGAAGGGCGGCGATGGGGCCGCTAGGGGCGGCGACGGGGCCGCGAAGGGGCCGCGAGGGGCCTGGAAGGGCGGCAACGGGGCCGCGAAGGGGCCTCAAGGGGCCGAGAAGGGCGGCGACGGGGCCGCAAGGGGCGGCGACGGGGCCGCGAAGGGGCCTCGAGGGGCCTAGAAGGGCGGCGACGGGGCCGCTAAGGGTGGCGCGAGGGGAAGAAAAAATTCGTCGCACGCAACGTGGCGTGCAACGCACAGAGTAGCAGCGGAAGCAGTTAGGTGGGCCCACAGGCCAGGAGCGTAGATGCTCTGATACCATGTGAAGAATGAGGAATAAGAATGGAAGAAGAGAGGGTTGCACTAGCAGCAGTTGGCATACGTATAGAAACCCTAATTGGGTTGTACTCGCTATAGAGTACCCCACTGCAGGGTAGACAATTATAACATTCTGACACCCGGCGGCCGCCTCACCCTGAAAATCCACATGCCATCGACTATGTTCGCCCCAGGTAGGGGAACCTCGTCCGTGCGCGGGGTCGGGATGTCAAATGCATCCGAGTCTCCCTCAGGGCAAAGTAGCGTGGACGCGAGATGAGGTGCAGCGGCTGCTAGGCACTCTAGCTCAAACTGCCTGTCCTCAAGAACGTCACAGCCAAGGGCAAGCTCACCCCCGACGGACGGAGGACAGGAAGAGTAAAAAACAAGACTCGCAGCATAGTCAAGGCGGCACAAAGCAGCAAAATCAAAGGAAGGGTCAGTCAAAACCGTGACAAGGAGACGAGTGACAGTCGGATTGGCAGTACGGACAAGGTCTGACTCAGGGTCAGGAACGTGAGGAAGAGAAGACGTAGGAGGAGACGGCAGGACAACACGCTGTGGAACAGAGGAAGGACGAAGTGCCATGATGCGTGTGCAAGGGACAGTTGGAGGACGAGGACGCACAGCACGGCGAGAACGGACTGGCATGAGAGGACGCGACGCAGGCTCTCGACGCTCAGTGAAGGACTCTGTCACCGCAGTGTGAGGAGCAGGATCAGGCAGTGGGGAGCTAGGCAGTAGCTGTGGCTGAGACTGGACAGTCGGTGGGAATAGTAACGGAGGAGTAGAACCAGCAACCGGGAAATCAGTAGCAGCAGGCGGGAGACTGAGAAGGTGACGAAGCGCAGACTGGTGCGGCTGAGTAGTCGCACCCCTAGAAACTCCAGCTCCAGTAGCAACAACACCCCCAGAACTAGTACCTCCAGCTCCACCACCGGGACTGCCCTAACGGACAGC